CCGCCCGCCATGCTGGCTGGGGAATTCTGGGAGTTGAAGTCCACTCATCTTAAAGTGGCCAAGTTTGGACAACACTGGTTTATACATCCTTCCACTGGAAAGTAGAACATGGCCATTAAAACATACTGGTTGCAACCAGTGTGACTGTTAATGGTTACAGGATGTAGATCTGCTTTGGAAGAACTTCTGCTGAATGCAGGAAAATGTTCACGGGAAGATGTGGCCCATCTCCATGAAAGGCTGGAGCAGCCTTCCACCAGGACTGACTGGGAGGCAGACCAGTACCTACTGGCTGAGCTGTTCACCCCCGTTAAGCTCACCAGGGCTTATTCTTAGGGAAGTATAAAGTACAAAGCTTATACCTTAATACATTTAAAGGAGCTCCAAGATTCTTTGGCTGTGTTCACACAATACCCTGCGCCCTCCACCTGGGATAGGCAAATAAACCATATGATGGCTTAACATCATGGCCTGGTTTGCACGACAGATCCTCAGAAACCAAATCTCAAGCTATCCAACTGCAGTTTAGCTGGCTCTGTCGCATTGTGTGAACTCAGCCGTAAGCAGTGTTTGCTTTTTGAACAGGCATGCACAGGACTGGTTACAGCTATCTTATGCATGATTCCACAATTTTAAAAAAGGTTTTCAAAAGAAAACATAGCCAAACAAGCAAGCAGGCAAAATAAGCAAAAAACAAACAAACAAACTGTTTCCAGGGATCCATTAAAGGGGAAGGGGAAATCCAACAGAATCAACCTCATCCTTGTTATGAACCGAACTATTTAAAACAAAGAGTGGGGGGAAAGGATGGGTTGGCAATGAGATTCTCCACAATTCTGGAGAGGATTTCCCCCTCCAAAACTAAGGGCCTTTATGGGTGAGGGTTTCTGAGTTAGCCCCGCTGCAAAGCTGCAAGCTATTTGCCCTTTCCGGCAACGGCAGCATCAGTTTATCATCATTTGGCAGGTCAAAAAGAAAAAAATTCTGCTGACTTCTGCTGCCACTCCTTGCATTTGCTAGTGATTGATTATGGCTCTTAAGTCACCTAACTCCCACCTGCTGGCCAGCTGTTATCTTGGGCCAGCAGAGAACTGCACCCTCAACAGCATCTGCTTCCAGTGCTGTCCCCCTAGTGGTTGCCTCTGGTACTGCACGTTCAGGAGCTGGCTGGCTGCTCCTGCACCTCCTCTCCCTGCAGTCGCCACCTCCTACCCTCGATGCCCCCCAACCCCACTGTCATCAGGCTCAGGCACTCAAATCGATGATGATGTGGCGGTAAATATGCGTCTTGCCCTTGAAGCTGGAGGCGATCAGGAAGTCTTGCTTGTCAACGTGGAGGTGGGCAAAGGAACGTGGGGCCTGGGTGTTGAGCTCCTGGAAGTGCCGGAAGAGCCCCGTGATGGGATCATAGCGGTAGACTTTGCTGAAGGAGTAGTCATTGCCTAGAAAGGCATAGCGATATCCGGCAATGCTCAACGGCTGGAAGACCATGGAGCCGCGAGAAGGCATCTGCTGGACATCTCGAAACATGGAACCGTCCCAGTGCATCACCTGCGGAGAGCAGAACATGCCTTGAATGCAATTTCTTGAAGATGGCTTCAATAAAATGGTATGGAGTTGTGCAAGTGTGGAGCAGTATCTGCTGCAGCTAAGACAACAGCAAGTCCTATAAGGATGTGAGCATCGTTAGGGGAGAAAAGAACCTCATGAATGCAATGCTTCTCTGGACAGTGGAAAAAACAGGGGCCAACCTAGGTGAGGGATTTCATTTATATCTTAATGAGCAATCTACCTGATTCTTAAACAATCACATATTGGAAAAGAAAAACCTGGTTCAGATTTATCTTGGCTCAATAAACTAGATGTGATTGAGCCAAGACTGAATCCTATGCCTTGGCATTTTCTCTTCCCCTGGGTTCAGAGCTAGCGAGAACCATTAAGGCACAGACTTAATGTACTTAATGTAGGAACTCATTAAAGTCACAGAATGTCTACCTGGAAGTCTTATAGTCTAAACTCAGCAAAGAGAGCAGAGGTGAAATTGGGATAAATAACCTAACTCCCCACCCCCACCCCAGCCTGGCAGTGGGGAGGAGGTATCTGACCCAACTTCATCTCTGAATGGGTCCAGAACAGATATAGTTGAATGGGAAAATGCTTTGTGCTTGAAGAAAAAGGACCAGGCATAATAACTTGGATCTATCTTCTTGCTAGGATAAAGCTAAACTGGTACATAATGGTGATCACACCAACTGCATATAGCTTAATCTTTGGACCACCATATACGCATGTATGTGCTATTTATTGTTTGTTCCATTTATCATTGCTTCATGTATCTCTGCTTATATGCACCCAATACAATTGGTAACATGTGGCATAACGGCCACCAAATCTGCTCTGGTCAGAAGTTAAGATAAGGTTCCACTTTGCCCTACCAAACACTACAGAATTGTACATTTGGGTGAGGCTATGTAAGCCATCAAAAGCGAGCTCTTAATGCAAGAACCCAGACATATGGGTTAATCGATGGTTTGTGGAGTTCTTGAAGCTCCCTGAGCTTGATTGTTTGCTTGCAGACGTTTCATTACCCAGCTAGGTAACATCATCAGTGCTAGTGAGTGTGGAGTGTGCTCCCTGTTTATATACAGTAGCTTGCCCTGCCAGTGTTGGTGGGGGTGTGGTTTTCTCCTTAGTAGTTCCTTGGTAGTTCCTAG